ATTAATAACTGTCCAATTACTTGAACGTTTATACCAAAGTTTTTGTAAATTTTCAATATAAGATTGAACATTTGTTTCAATAGATGTTCTCCAACGTGCATCAATTATTTGAAAATGTATATCTCGTGTAAGATCAATTTCCATTGAATTTACAAAAGTAACATAATTTTGTCTATTTTTTGATGATTTCCATACATTAGAAGAACTATTTTCTTGTTGTCGAATAGAAAATTTATATAATTGTTGAAATGTAGTTCGATTATTAATTGGATGAAGAATAAATGCACGAGAAATAATTGATGGTGTAAAATCATATCCAAATCTATATTGAGGACCATAATGATGATAAAAGAAATTTTTTGAATTATATGCATTGGTACAACTTATATGAACATGTGTTAATATACAACGACCTAATTCAACATCTTCATGAATTGTAAGAAGTTCTTTTGTAAAACATTGATCAAGCCAAGGTCCTAATTCTAGTAAAGTTTGTTGAGAAAGTATTACTCCACTTCCACCCATACAAAAATACTAGACGAAAAAATAAAATAAAATCTCAAAAGAATATATTTGTTTTTCTTACTTTTCCTGGTGGAAAATGAACAGCCGGTCCATTTTGTCTTCCAGTTCCACCTTGTCCAATATATAAAGCTTGTCGATGATCAATTGATTTTAACCATGGAATTAATTTTTGAATATTAACATAAGCATTATCATCTAAACGTAATATCCATGATGTTCGTTGATAATAAAATGTATAGAGAAATTTCATAGCATAAAAACTTTTTTTTTGTGGTGGATAAGAATTTTCAACATGTTTTAATTTAACAATAAAAAGACAAGATTTTATATTTTGATTTAATTTTAAAAATATTTTTTCAATAAATTCTTCAGATTGAAAAGATTTTTCTTCAATAAATATAATTATTTCAATTTCATTTGTTGTTGTTAATACCCATGTTTCAAGTATAGCTGGTAAATAATCAATTAAACGTTCATATGATGATAAAATAGCAATAGTTAAAAATATATTTGATCGTTCATTTTCACATGTTTTTATAGTTCGATATTGAAAATGATTATAAAATGTATTAGATTTTATTATATTCGATTTCGATGAAAAATATAAACAAGGATATCGAATAATGATTTGCCAATAATAAAAGCCAAAGAAAAAACCAATGAAAAAAAGACATAATAGAAATAATCTATGCTTCCAACGATTGAATATTATACGCGGCATTCATGATTGATTAAAACTATTGTTATTATCTATTAATAGTAATATAAAGGAATCGATCAATCAATTTTTATATATTAGAGGAAAAAAAGAACTTTTCAGGTATTTTAAAGATAAAATATACATACATTCCGCACCTATCTTAGCAAAAATTATAAGCGAAAGTAACGTAACACTCCTCTCCCCCGGTCGATAGGGAATGAGACATTTCGCACCAACTTTTTATTACGATTTCCTGTAGATGTTCGTCGCGATTTCCCGATATAAGAAAAAAAAACAGGATGTTCGTAATGAAAGTTGTTTAGGATAAAAATCATTTCCGGGCACCCGGTCATACAGTGGCGGATCTAGGGTTTTGGAAGGAGGGGGGCGATTTTGGCTAAAAGCTATTTTTTGGGTCCAATCGAAGTAGTATGAACCTATTTTTTCGTTCATTTTTGCTGTAAAAAATCGGAAGGGGGGCGATCACCCCCCCCCCCCAAATCTGCTACTGCGGTCATATGTCCGATAGTTCGGAGTACCTAGCGCAAAATGGCCTTGTCCCGGTCGATATGCTTCTATTTCAATAATTCGAACTTTAAATATTACTATTACTTACATAGAAATCGTAGTTGAAATTTTTTACCTTCTTAACCTTATGTTATATATCGTGTATTACATATGAGTATTCGTCTTTATAAAAAATAATCCTTTTTCTTCGTCATATTTAATCATTGAATTAACGGCGAAAAAACTGCAGTAAAAACACACCGTATGTTTTTATTATCTTAAGTTGAATTTCATATAATATATCAAATATCAGCAATCGGCATTGAAGGTTATATTATACTTTTAAAAATGAAAAGAAAAAACGTTCTTTTTTTTCTTCTTTTTCTTCAACATGAAAGAACAAGACAACTAATCGTTATTTATACTCGGTTGATTTAACCAAGAGAATAATTCGTAAAATAACAACTACTATTCCATTAATCAAGGTTCAGATTGAATTACATATTTGTTCTTAGAGTATCACAATTTGACAGTGATGTGTAATTCTCAAATATTTACACAACATATTTGTGTTTAAAATTATAACGGGTAGTGCATAATAAATGGATCACGCAGTAGCGCCATCCGTTATATTTTTTT